AGAGAGAGAGAGAGAGCAAAGTAGGAGGAAAGAGCATCGATAAGATCGTGAATTTGATAATTCGACACGGCGTGTATCATTAAGTGATAATGTCTGTTATAATCGCGACCGGATGCTGTGATTTTGTCGCTGTAAAATGCGAGGGGCGCGCAGTAACCGCCGTTGTCTGACTTTCCCTTTTGTCATTTCATCATTTCTTTCGTTCTGTGACGTATCTGCGATATTTCCATTCGTCGGTTTTAATAAATTATTCCTACACACTCGTCGAAAGCGGCGTCGTTTGACAATGTTCGATTAATCATCACGATTTGAAATCCATATCGCGCGAGAGCGCTTTCTCGAATAATTTACAATAAAATTTAGGATCGATTCGTTCTCGTTGATTTGCCTGCTCATCGTGCGAGAGAAAGAAACATGACGAGGTGCGAAAAGAATCACGGCGAACACACTTGTCGTAATCGTGCGATCTGTCACAGATTCGCGACACAAGCTCGCTATTTTCAACAAAGTGTGAATACGAGAACAAGGCTCGTTCGCTATAAAACAAGCAATTCCGCACCTACGGTTTTGCAAGCGATTTAAAAATTATTTCGCTAGTAATCACTCGTTAGACGAGACATTCGCGAGATTCTTTTAGGCGCGTTAAAAGAGATATTTATAATATCTCTAATGTAATTAGTAATAATTTATATTATACCATGTATAATCAGTAGTAATGTTGCTACATGAAACGTTGTGAAATAATATGTAAGCAAATTGATTAATTGTAAGTAATTATAGAAGAAGAGTTACCTAGTAACAAAGAGTTAACATTGGAATGTGTTAGTGTAAGGTCAATTAATTATATATTAAATACGTAATTGGTAGTCGTTGGAAAGCGGAGTAAGGAAATTGTCTCCTCTTGTTACTATCTCCGTTGTTAAATATATTAACCTTGTCGATCGATTTAATAGATATTTAAAGTCGACGATAATTAAGTCTTGAATTTAATTGACCTGATGAAAATATTTAATGTTATATTTTTGCAGTCGTAAGACCGAGACATTAGCACGACTGTTGTGCTATATTTACAGTTTTCTTATGTATGTCGAAAATTTTGAAATGTATATAGCGAGCGAGAAATTTCTTGTTCCCGATATTATTCAACGCGTCGCGAAACGCAACGTGTGCTTTTGCGCAATTTACAAGCATAGCTGTACGTACGCGCAATAACGTGCCAACGCTCAGGTTTCAGTTTCGCAGGTGCGAACAA